TTAATCAGAAGGCATGCAAAACCAAACTGAAATGATTTCTAATAAATTAATGCCAGTGAGTGCTTAAGAGAAAGGACCTCTTTTGGGGGATAGCGCATCAAAACCATAGAATTTGGCATTTCTTTCTCCTCTTCATACTTGGCAATGTATTTTAATTTTTGCATAATTTAATTTTTTTCTTGGGTGCTTTATTCTGAAGTGCTTTGAATTTATATGAACGAAGACAATCTGACATTAAGGTGAGGGTTGGTCTAATTTATAGTGGGCTGCCATGGTAGGAAGTTATTGATTGAGACAACATATATTGGAAGACACATATATTTGACTTAATATTTGGTCCTTACCATTTCTTGCATGTCATCATAGTATTGCTTATTTTGATCTTCTTTCCTCTGAATTCATACATATGTGTATATATATATATATATTTTTTTTTTTTTTTTTCCCCTTCAAGTGTTCTTTGTCGCCTTCTAGCTCTTATTCCAGTGGCTGTGGATAGGTTTCAGGGATTTCTTTAACCATCTGAAATTGTAGCAATATTTTTCTCATAAATTCATTTATCTGGGGAGTAAGTCCTTCTCAAACTGCTTCTTAACCATCCAGCTCTTTATCTTCGTTTTGGTCAGTAATTATGCTACCAGTATATAAGGTGGGACTGCTTAATTTTGAACATCCCATTTGCCTTTACCAAGTGCATATCATAGAAACAACCACCAAGTGAAAGATTCTCCCACAATTAGGTGCAGCTTTTGTAGTACAGCTCTTGGTACTGGCTAAATGAAAGGCTGTGCCATGCACTGGATGGCCATCTGTCTTGTCAGGTGCTGTGAATCTTCGTAGCTTCAGCTTTATCTTTAGAGGGCAAAGGTAGCTGTGGTCCATTCACATGGTTCCCAAGTACCCAGTTATCTCCTCTTCTGAAAATGGAAGTATTACTTTGTGCCCACCAGAATCTCCCAGTAATCACTATTCTTCATCGAGTATAAAATGTGGGAAGATGGGGGCGCCTGGGTGGCTCAGTCGCTTAAGCGACTGCCTTCGGCTCAGGTCATGATCCTGGAGTCCCGGGATCGAGTCCCGCATCGGGCTCCCTGGCTCAGCGGGGAGTCTGCTTCTCCCTCTGACCCTTCCCCTCTCATGCTCTCTGTCTCCCATTCTCTCTCTCAGATAAATAAAATCTTAAAAAAAAAAATTTTAAAAAAAATTTTAAAAAAAATGTGGAAAGATGCCTACTCATTCTGAGAGACGATTAACAGCCTTATGGGCCTGACACATAGCACCATTGTATTCATAGCTTTAGGATGTACAGCTAATTATTTGCATTTTAAAATGAGATAAATATTTCTATTTATACACATTAAGACTATTAATTCTGGCACTGTGTTTAAATATCTATAAATCAGAGGCAGACGTGTGCTCTTCCGATCTAAAACTATTAAGTCTGAATTTGTGTGTTTAAATATCTATAAATCAGAGGCAGTTGAAGAGCTGAAATTCAGATTTCCTTACACTTGCCTGCCAAGTGGCCTCAATCAGAAGTAATTTTCTCCATGAGGGCACATGGAGCTCAGTCGTGAGCTTTTTCTGAGTAGATATTATTATTTGTGTCAAATTATGTGTGGTGATTTTTCTGAAGTGGACTTCTGTGCCCACTAATCCATACACACGAGGTTCCCTCATTCCCTCCTTCATTGGTGCTATTAATTGTACTTGTGCTTCAAGTGTCTCTTACCCCTTTAAAATGTTAGTTTATGGCCACCGATTATCTGTAAGGTTTTCCTGTTAAGGAAACATGCAATATAGAGAGTAGAGTGAGATCTGATCTTAAACCGTAAATACCACTATGCATTTTAAGAGAAACCTTTTTTTTTTTGCCAGAGCCTGATTTGATAGGGTGGTGAAAGGAATGGGTAGTAATTTCACATTTTAAAGTATAGCAAATTCTATAAATCTGACACTTGCTTTGGGAGAAATACAAGTTGGTCATTCAATCACCTGTGGCCTGTCCTAAATATTGGCAATGAGATCGCATGTATTTTGAACAGTGAGCTCAATAATTTTTCACCTTTCATTTGGGTTTTGTAGTTTGGCTTTGAAAATAATTGCTTCTTCTCAATTATATGCTTGAAATTGCAAATTGATAGCCAGCATATAAAATAAAAGAGCCCCTGGAATATAGAATGTTATATTATCAATTAAGATCTTATCATAATCTTTGATAAATAAAATATAAATATAAATATATAACTATAACATGGATGGCTTGGTTCGAGGTTTATTATGCACAGTTAGTGGTTTTGTTTCCTTTCAAATTTTCACATGAGCTTTTCCATTTAATTTTTATTAAAACTATTAAGTCTGAATTTGATATACCATAAGAGCCAATTTGTTGTCATTGACTATTTTAAATAATTGTTCAGTTACATACTATCTTGAATAAAAATCCTAAGAACGTTAGCATGTATTCTCCGAATTTAATTTTTTTAAAAAAGAAAGCATTTTTATTACTGTTGATTTTATTCTTACAATATGCATGAATTATCTTTATAATATACAGGCTTTTATGATTGAAGAGCATCCAGAGATGATAAAAAAAAGGAAATTCACTAAAATATATGTGAATTATTTAAGATATTTATTTTACAACTAGTTATTTTTTGTTAGCAAAACTCAGAGTATATATTCCAGAAAAAGTATATATTGTCATTTCTGTTATAACTGATATTAAGGCAGGTTTTTTTTTTGCAGACTGATTTAGTATGGATATAAATTATGTAAATAAATATTAGTAACCAACTATTTTAGTTTTGGTAAAATCTGCAAGAAGATCTTCCTGATTTTTCTGGGGAAGGGATCTAATATTTTGTAACATATATTCTCAGTAATCCTAGAAGAGCAACAAGAGGTTTCTCAATTTTTAAAGACATAAACTTTAAGCATTTATAAATAAATAGGTTAATATGAATTAAGCATTTCAGGAGATATTTGTGTTTTATAGATTTATTTATGAACGAATGTGTCTGTAACTACTGAAGATATTTTGCATAGTAGTATGGTATATTAATAAAAGATACTTAAAAATCTTGGGTTTTTGCATCAATTTTTTTTCACTTATTAGAGTGTAACCTTATTCTGCTTAACTAACTTCCTGAGCTTTACTTTGCACATCTACAAAATAAAAATAGTATTAATTCTCATACCTACTTTATTGGGTTATTTTAAAGATAACATAAGAAAGTGCTTTGAAATCTTACTTGAAACACAAATCAGACAGCTTCACAGGTCTTATTTTGACCAAAATTGTTATTATAATTAAGTTGTTTGAAAAAAATACAGAAAATACTCTATTATATTCTTCATTAGACTCGGAGTTAATAATTAGAATTATCAGATAAGTGTTCTAATGATTATATTATTTTATATTATTATATTTATGTATTCCATGCATACTTGCTATTGACATAATTGTTTTAAGAGTTAAAAAATTATACTTTTAAACTTGAAATAATAAGAGAGGAAAACTAATATGAGATCTGTGACTTTTGAATGTAAAAATCATCATTTTTGTGCAAAATCCATGTTGGTTTTTTTTTTCCCTATCCGATTTGAGGGTAAAAAAGCACATTACCAGAGTGTTTGGAATTAAGGCATTCTTTTTTCCTTAACATTTGTTATTTTGAGGAAAAAGAGAAATAACAAATTGTAAAAAGGACAAGAAAACTCTGTAAGAAGTTTTTTTGCTGGGATGTCCCTTAATTTAAATCCATGCAATTAATTTTGTCCATGAAAATGTGTTATTATGAATTCTGCCCTTTTGGAAACTTGCTTTTGGGAAAGCACCAGATACACTACTGTGCTGTATGTACCTGTTCCTGTTTGCTCCCACATATATAAAAATTGTAACATGTGCAACTATTTTAAATTATTTATAAGATTTCTTCTTTGGCCCTGAAAATTTCCTGGCACATTTCTAAGAAGGAAGAGGGAGACCACCAAAGCCTTTTAAGTAGTTAACCTGTGTGATGAGACTGTGGATCTGAGTGACAATTAGTACAAATTACCATAATTGTGGTCTTTGGATAAAATGCCACATTGCTTCTTTTAGGAACAAATGCAGGCTTCTGCTTAGTAAAATGAGTCGGATACTTTGCTTCTCTGGGGCGGTCAGAGATTCGCAACCAGCCATGTGGTATCTGCACGTAGTCCACTTTAGACCCATCTGAACAACTCCAGCCCTCCCTTTCCTTTCAGTGAAATAGGCCCGTTAATGTAGTGCACCTCACTCTCATTGACTCTAAGGGAGTTGTATTTTTATTACTGAAAAAGTATCACATAAATACAAATTACATTTTTTCATTAGAAAACTACTTTTCGTTTCAGAAAAAATTCAATTAATTATGAATAGGGTTATGCTTTCATCAGGGAGAGAAATATGTAATTTTTCTTCAAGCCTCAAACACATATAATGAAATCTTTTCTTGGAATCCACTCTTAAGATGGATTTTTAAAAGTATAGACTTTATTAAAATCTCAGTTCAATTAAAATGCATTCAATTACTTTAAATCTTTATTAAAATCTCAGGTAAAATTGTACAACGATGTAAAAGAGACTTGTACTCTTTACCAGGTAGTTAATTCTAACAAATGAACATAAAGTGCACAGTTTTGCTCTTCGGGAGAGAATTAAAAAAAAAGAAAAAGAAGAAGAAGCAGAAGCAGCTTTGGGTTTGGAACTGGGGGTGGGGAAGGGTTGAAGATGGAGGTTGCTTTCTGTGTAGTAACTTCAGGCACTGGTTTCCTTCCACTTCTCATTATAGGTCATTGTTTCTTGTGACTATGAAGGTGGCATTATCCTGTGTGAGTCCCTTTGCTGATACTGCTTGGCCTATTTATAGAATACATTTTTTCTCACCACTTTAATCAAAAGACCCTATTAAAGGATTTTATTTCACTGTCTTCTTTGGATGTTTTTGGTACAGTGTCCCTGATTCTTTTTCAAGGGCCTCTAGAAGATGCCATTGAAGAGGAAGAGGAAGAGTGTCCATCAGAGGAAACAGACATCATCTCAAAAGGGGACTTTCCATTGGAGGAAAGCTTTTCTACAGAATTTGGGCCTGAAAATCTGAGCTGTGAAGAAGTGGAATACTTTTGTAACAAAGGTAATCATTAATGGCTAGACGCAATCTGTGAGTCCGTTTACTCAGATGATTTTGTAAAGTTTAAAAAATGCACTGATAGAGTGCGATGAAAATGCGCAAAGTGCTGATAACATAATTCAAGAGTCTGAAAGTACCTGCAGAATTTTTTAAACACAAAATGCTACTTTGAGGGTTGAAAGAAGTAATTCCACTTTAATAAGTCATTTTGAATACTTAAAAAAATATTTTCATGTCGATTGGCCAATTAATTCTAATATATTTTATGTTTATCCTGTGTTCATTTATTCTTTTGCAAGTATTTATTGAATGTCAGTTGTTTGCAAGGCACTGAGTATAAGCACTGAATAGGGCAGATAGTCCCAGCCCCAAAGTTCTGGCTCACTCCTTTTAAAAACTAAATGTTTGAGGGACCCCTGCCTGGCTTAGTCGGTAGAACACGTGACTCTTGATCTCGGGTTTGTGAGTTTGAGCCCCGTGGTGGGCTTAGAGTTTACTTGATAAAAAACAAATAAAACCCCCCCCCAAAAAACTGAATGCTTTAGGTGTTTGACATTGACTTTCAAAACTGAAGATGGTACTTTTTAAGATATTGTCAAGTAAGAAAATACACATTACTTTCCCATCCTAGGTACTCTTTTAACACATTAACATTATTCTGGAAGAAATACCTGAGACAACGTATCTCAGTTTATTTCTACCCTTGACTTGGAGCCAGGTGGCCCTTGCCAGTAACTCTGTCTTCATTGGGCACGTGTACTCATTTGCTTGCTTTTTTCAAAAGTGTTTTTAAGGTTTAAAATGATTTAAATGATTCAAATCATTTAAAATGATTTAAAAAAATTTTTTTCTTACTTAATTTCTTGGCTTTGCAAATGAGATGGGTCTTCTGTCGCCTCCTGCACCGACATAAGTTGGTTTCATAAGTGTTTGGGTCACTTCGTTGGTCTAGAACAGCTGCTTTTGCTGAGTTTACCATGACCGTGTCATAGAGGGCATGACTGTATGCCCATCTGTAGATGTGTGTGTGTTTGTGTTACGTACCATTTTTATTTGGACATCTGTATTTCTTAGGCAGAGAAATTATGTGAAACCAAGTTTTTTAATGTGTGTAAGTTTGTTGATCAGACTTGACAGTCTGAAATTAAGAATGATGATATAGGTTCCCCAAAAACCACCACTACACTTATCTCAGGGGCCACATATACATTTGATGTACATTGGTAAAATTCCAGTATGACTTTCTCCTGTTGCTGGTGTGTTAGACACAGAAGAGGTCAGCCACTTCTCATCCCTGGGGTCAGTAGACTCCGAAAAACTGTGGAAATGGAATGGCGGCCCTAGCCCCTGGCTGCCCTGAAGTTGAGAAAACCTCCTTGGCAGTTAATGCTCGAAGACCTCAAGGTGACTTTGTAATTTGGCCCTTGTCTCCCACTTTGAGGCTTTTGGTTGAAAATGAGAATGGTATGGACTGAGTAGTCTTTCTTTGGTAGTGTTGACTTAGACTTCAGGCCAAATTAATGTTTTCTGTAGTTGTTCTGGGTGCTAGAACCATTTCTTGATTATAGTAGCCACAGCAATACATGTGAAAGCTAGCTGGAAATGAGGAGTGTTTAAATCTATATTTGAAGAGATTTCGTGGTCCCTCTTTGTCAGGAAATGCATTTTTAAATGCATTGTAGAGAACCTGCCTTATGTTATAGGATTACAGTAAATAGAAGAACCAAGAGTACCATGTATTCTTCTTGTTCTTGTAAAAAGAGTTAGTATGTGGACTCAGACAGTTTTGTCAATTTAATTAATCCAGAGAAGCAGTAGTGATAGGTATTACTAGATTACATTCTGGGATGATCATTGATTAAGGGCTATGCTTAACAAAAGAATATAGAACTATAAGTTTTAAGCTAGTAGTATCTTAGAAAATATATATAATCAAATATATCATTAAAATACAAATTAATGTAAAATTATAAATAAATACTCAATGTATTACATGTTATAAAAATAACTTTCTAATGTTTAGTTTGAAATTAGAGAGTAATGATAGGTGGAAATAAGAATTTTCATTTTCACATAATATTTTGCAGGATAAATATGACTGGAACTATTGCAAACTGCTGTTGTCTTACTTAATAGGAAAAGAATTTCATTATTTTACTCTCATAAAATGTGAGACCAGGAGATTTTCACTGAAGTCAGTAGGCACTGGCAGAAAATAGAGCCAGCTCTTTGACAGATATTGCATCCCCTTGAGGTCATAGTAGGGATTCCATCCATTTTTCACTTAAGTTGATTAGCAGCAATCGGAAGAGAACATTTTCTCTCTGGAAAATTAGAAACTAATCTTTCTGTAGAAATTCACATATTGGTCTCAGTGACACACAATTATGTTTTCTTCACAGTTGCAGGGAAGAAGATAGGTTTAGAATTAAAAGAGTGTAAGTATTTAAATGGTTAATGATGCCACCATCATGATGAGGGAGCATATAAGAACTGTTCTGAAGAAAAATATTTTCAGCTTGGGCTCACTGATGAAGCATATTTTTTGCACATATTTTAATGTCATTTACAACAACATAAAAAGTGTGTGTGTGTGTGTGTGTGTGTGTGTGTGTGAAAATGAATTGGATTCTTCGGAAAATTTCTTCAGCTAAAGATCTAGCCATGATTAAGATCTAGCAAGGACATGGTTTCTTTAATGAGTTTCAGGGATAACACTTTTGAACATCAAATGCTTTCTTTTGTATTAAACAAAGGATAGTAGTTTAAAAACTCAGATCACAAAAACATGGTTAAAATACTTAAGTGTTCCAAACAAGGTATTCGGACAGTCAGTGGAGGATACTGAGTGAGGATACACATATAGTTACGGTCTATCTTCATTTGTATCTTAGCAACTGTGTTGTGTATAAAAGCAATCACATGCCATTGTGACTTTCCTTTTTATTCAAAAAAAGTAAGGAAAAATGCTCTGCTTTTTGTAAATCTATGAAGACATAGCTTTTCATAAGTAAAAGTTCCTACTTCCTTTTGAAATTGAGCCGCATTATACAGGATATTTTCAATATTTAAAATGATTCTGCTCTTATTGTTGTGGTGTTTTCCTCAGTTCTATATGGATATTGTCTATTTCCTTGTTGTCAAAGGGCAGGCCTTTTTACAAGTCTTGAAGCATTTATTAATATTATTGCTAGTCATTATAAGACATGTGATTAAATATGACCCAAATCACTCTCATAATGTAATATTCCACAGAAATGTCAAAATGTTGGTCAGAATTTTATGTCAACATTAAATGTGTAAAATTCTTAATCAGATGAATCTAAGTCATAAATATTCATAATTAAAAGTAGAAAAGATCACCTTTAATAAACCCTTGTTAGAGTTGCACGCCTAAAACTGGAACCTGACAATTCCGTTGAAGTTTCTTTTATCGCTTTTTACTTTATGTTAGTTGCATATTTCATGTCTCTATTTTTATCTTTCAAATGAATGAAATGAACTCTGCTTATTAAAAGATGCTCTTCTCAAAGTTGCTTGCTATCCTTAGATTTTAGGAATTTCAGGAAAATATAAAGCAATCCTTACAATTTGCATCATCCTCTTTTGTGCAATGAGTTTAGATCATTTGGCATCTTGGCTTACAGTATCTCTGAGAGGAAGGAAACAAGCAAGAATTATTTCCTTGAATTTACAGATGACGAAGACATCAAGGCTGGGTCCCTAAGTGCTACACATTTCCTGTGGCACTGGGTTATATGCTTCAGTGATTTGTTTTCTGCCTTTCTTCTGGTTTATATAGTAAACACTGAAGTACATCAATGCATGTTTAGGACTAAGCAAACTAATAATAAATCGAAACATAGGTGGTCTGGAGAGCAACTGGAGGAGTTTTTAGTATGTTACATTTGTCAGGTGGGAGCTCTTCTATATTAGCGATTCTTGTATAAAGACTCAGAGACAGTAAGTTTCATGGTGGGGTTGACATGGAGCGGTTCTAAAACTGGTCTACTGTTATTATTTGTAGGAAGAGTTCACTCATTGAAATACCCAAGTTTGTTAATGACTGAAATTAAATAAATAGGTCTTGGGTTACAGTCCAAGAGAATGTCACAGGATATGTGAACAGGAAGAGAAGTGTCAGGTCACTATCACTGTAGGCTAGGAGAACGTACTGTCATTAACAAAAGAAACGCCAAAGTAACTATGTCAGTGAGCTTTGAATTATTAATGATTATCTGGAGAAGGTAGTGAGGGTCCCTACAAAGTGTTTCCCGGTGACATCATCTCTAAACAAAGGCTGAAAGGGAAAAGGATGCCATCAAAGTTGATTTTGGAAGAGAAAAAACCTTACTTAGAATCATAGGGTCTATGTATGGAGAATGGTCAGAGAAATCACTGGGTGAAGTGCTTAGCCTAGACAGATGAATGAAATATTAGATGTCTTCAATCTGGAAAGATTAAGGTTGAAAAAAGGGGGCATAATGGAAATTCATAAAATAAGGTCACTGATATAGTGTAACAATGGACATTTTTTTTTAAAAGATTTTATTTATTTAACAGAGAGAGAGAGAGCGAGAGCAGGAACACAAGCAGGGGGAGTGGCAGAGGGAGAAGCAGACTTCCCGCTGAGCAGGGAGCCCAATGCGGGGCTTGATCCCAGGACCCCGGGATCATGACCCGAGCCGAAGGCAGCCGCTTAACCAGCTGAGCCACCCAGGCGCCCCTTACAATGGACATTCTTAACACATTCAAAAATATTTGACACAGTTTGTTTGCAGAAATTAAAGGTTATAAAATAGAAAAATGCATAGCATATTAAAGAAAATAGAATAAAACCTGAGTTACTCAGACTTGGTTTAACTCTAGCCCAGAAATAATTAATACCAAACCAAAAGCAAACATAAGCAGATATTTAATTAGATTGGCAGAAGCTTCCAATTCTGTTCAATAAATAAATTCAATTCAGCTCAACCCATATATTAAGCATCTGGTATGTGCCA